TAGACAAGGTGGTGAGGATACTGAGCTGAAAATAAGTGAGCACAGTCCACCCTTCTTACTCCAGATTACAACTGGAGAGTAACAACATCATTTTATCCCTAAGGTGATGCAACTGTCTCTTACACACTCACCTGCCCCCTAAAAAGAAAGACACAGTATTCCATGTGTGACTTGAGCTCTGGGAACATTTACTCCCAGTCCAGATGCAATCTTCCTTTGATAGCCAATGACTTATATGCCAACTTATACGATTAACCACTTGATATTGGATAAGGGGCGGGGAGACATGGCAGGGATGAAGGAGAGAGGAGGAACTGATGAATACAAATAACAAATAGGTTGTAGGTAGATTAGACAAATAGAGAGATAGGCAGATACAGAGATATATCAAATTGAGGAAGAGAATAACACATAGTTACAAAAGACTTCCTTTCTGCAACTGATCACTAGACCTTGTTGGCACTGAGAACTTTCTTCTTCCACTAGCCTTTGCATGTTCTTTTACCCTAACATCTCATGTTTTGGCCAACGTCTCGTCTGGTCATGGGTCTTTACATGGCAGGGTGACTCAAACTTTCTGCCAAAATGTGAGTAAAGCTTGGGGACTGGAAAAGAAAGGGTGCGACTGAACTGGACCCTACAAACAAATGAACATGAGAGAGTGAGATGCCTATGTGGTCCATATATGCCAAATACTGTCCCTTCCCTACTTTCCTTGCTCTTTTCTCTCTCCACCCCCACCTCACCCACACACACACCAAACAAACAAACAAAAAATAGGGTAGAGAAGGGGTTCAAAACCATTGTCAACACTTAGGTTGCTGCATGCAAGAGCCCTGGGTCATTCCACACCCCTCATCCACCCACCAACTCCTCCCTGCCCTTCATCTCTGCTTGGGGTCTTCTGAGGAGAATAGTGCATTCTTCAGAAAGCCAGAACTTGATAAAAACATCTGCTAGGAAGAGAGGGGGAAAGTAAGAGCGAGATTTCCTTTCAAAGTTCCACCGGCCATTCCTCCCTCCACATCCCACCAACAAGCCCCCTCCTTCATCTCCCCTTGTGAGGAAACACCTGGCTGCAGATGGTCTTGCTGAACCATGATAACAAGCTCTGGAGCCGATACGCGATGAAATGAAAAACATTTAACTTACAGGATGAATAATCCCCGATGGCAATTAATCTCCAGTCCTGAGGCCCGGGGGCTGCATGAGGGGCTGTGCTCTCTCCTTCAGAACATTCATTTCTGGAAAGCAGCCAAGTTCACTAAGCAGCCCTAATCATGGGGCACAGCCTGGGAACCTTTGCCTTTGCCTCCACCCTCCAAGGGTTCCCAGCAATACCTGGCTGTTGGCCTCCTCTCCTCTATAATGGAAAGGCTGGATTTTATGTCTGTCTCCCCTAGGCCAGTTTCAATGCCCCCATGAGTTCAGGTAAATTTCTGAACTAGCTCCTTTGGGGCTGGACATCCTGAGCTATCCAGGGAGCTGACAGGTGGCTCTTCAAAAAAAAAAAAAAAAGTAAAATCACTCTTTCCTAGCCTCTATAATCTCCTGGAAATGAGGCAGCTGGTTCCCTGTGGAATAACAGGCTCTCAGTCCAACCAGAGTCAAAACCATCGACACAGGAGAACGGGTAGGCTAGAAATTCTGCCCCACTTTGTATCCTTTCCCCTCGGTTCCTTCTCTGTGCTTAGGACACTAGCTGTAAGAGGAGAGGGGGCCGTGGGAAACCAGGCTGCTACCTGGTAGAGGCATATGGGACTAGAGATCAACAGAGAAGCACTTGTTCATTGAGAGCCTCACTGTTTGCTCCATTAAAGTCCCCGTGGATTCCACTAAGGAATAGCCTGTGGTGGAACTGTAGCATTGGAAGCAAAAATTTCATTCATTCACCACTCAACAAACAGTATTCGTGTATACATTCTAGATGTATAAACAAATGAAACAAGACATGATCCCTAAAATAATACTCATCCTCAAAATGCTTTCAATCTAATAATAAAAAGTGACTCCACGCAGAGTGATGGGTACCTTGGTAATGTACAGGGTACTCTGGGAGCGCAGAACAGGATGTAGTAGAAAGATCTGAAAGTGTCCTGACAAGTTTGGTTTCATCTTCCTCATTCCCAGAGATCTCTCTGATCCTCAGTCCCCTACCATCTGCCTAATGAATTTCCTGGACCTGAACTTGCCCTCTGGGCTGTTCCTTTGAAGATCCATCCTTTACCATTAGTCCAAGATTTTATCTTTAGAAATCTTACTTGCTCTTTCTAACTGACCCGTTTGAGCCAAGGGTACTGGCTTCTCCCCAACCTGGACACGCCCAGATCAGCCCGTGCTTCCAGTGTTTGTCATGGCCCAGTGATGCCTCGGGCTGGAACTCGGTAAGTATTGTATCTCTCACTGCAGAAAGCAAGCCGGAGAGTGAGGAGGGGGCAGGGAGAGAGAATGTCATCCTATCCTCATCTTGCCACAATTTCCTACAGTAAAAATTCGCTAAGGTTCACCAAGGAGTTTAACTGGCCTTCCTGTGTCGTCTGATGGAAGAGAGGAGGACAGGAAGGGAAATGGCCTGTGTTGAATGCCTGTTAAGTGCCTACATGGTGAGGAAGGGTTTTTTAGAGACCAGAAAATTGAGGCTCAGAAAGGTTAAGTGAACTTCCCATGGTGACGGAGCTAATAAGAGGCAGAATCTTGATTTCAGCTCTGGACCTTCTTATTCCCAAGTCCATGTTCTATCTAGATGATGGTGCTTCTCAAACTTTAATGTGTACACAAATCACTGGGGGCGGGGGGGGGGGGGCGGGGTTCATTAAAATGAAGCTTCGGGGGTGCCTGGGTGGCTCAGTCGGTTAAGCTTCCGACTTCAGCTCAGGTCATGATCTCACGGTTGGTTTGTGGGTTCGGGCCCTGCTTCAGGCTCTGTGCTGACAGCTCAGAGCCTGGAGCCTGCTTTGGATTCTATGACTCTCTCTCTCTCTTTCTGCCCCTCCCCTGCTTGCGTTCTCTCTCTCAAAAATAAATAAGTAAAGTCTATTAAAAAATGCAGCTTCTGATTCACAGGTCGGGGAGAAGGGGTGAGAATCTGCATTTGTAATAAGCTCCAGGTGGTGCTGATGCTAGGGGTTCCCCGCTGCCCCCTGATGTTGAGCAGTAAGGCAGTGGAAGAAGCAGCTTTCTACTCATAATCCCAGGTAGACCCCAAGGGCCCGACAGGGAGCCATTCTCAATAGGGCCAATACCACTGCCCCTTACCCACGGGTAGCAATGTGTGGCAGCATATTTGGGTTTTGTTTTCTGCTTGTTGCCATGACTGGTGCAGTTACCAGCATTTCGTATCTGGGAGTAAAGATGCTAGAAATCCTTCAGTGGATGAAATCACCCACAGTTGATTTTCTTGGGACAGCCCTACATGATACAGACTGCCTCACCTAAAATTTTCCTAGCATCTTCATCAAGGAACCCTGAACAGCAGCTGGGGGTGTGCACACTACTGTCAGGTGCCATCCCTTTGGCTGCCTCATCTCCATTACTTGTTCTCCGTCATTGGAAACACCAGCGCTGCCCTCCGGCTGCTCTACTCCACACTGTTAGCACCAACAACTGCCCTACAGGAGATCACTGCACACGCATGAGTGCATGTTGACATCCCGCTTCCTCGAACTCCAGCGTTGCAACAGAAAGGACAATCCAGGACGGGCCTAATCAGAGACAGGTATGTTCACATATTGTCTGGCACCCCTAAAGAGCCCAGGGATGCTGCTGTCACACAAACGTGGGCATCTTTGGAAGGCACACTGGCCAGCTAATAAATGCATATGTTGCACTCAACGACAATTTTGAAGGGTATATACTGAGAAAATGAGAGAGGAGCTGACATCTGCTAAGCCTCTGCTCTTTGCCAGGAAACAGACAGATGCTTTACGAATGTTGTTTCACTACAGCCGTGGCATGGATTAGACATGACAAACTCAGACTCTAGAGCTAGAGTGTCTGGGTTTGAATCTCACCTCAGCTAATTACCAGTTGTATTGCCTTGAAGACAATATTTAACCTCTCAGGTCCTCAGTTTCTTCATCTGTAAAATGAGGGTCAGAATGGTATATGCCTCGTGGGCCTATTATGAAAGTTAAATAAATTAATACCTGAAGAGCACACAGCACGGATCAAAGACTATAAAAGCATATGTTTGCTAAATATGATAGCCATATAAGTGAGTTTTCCATATTTTACCGAGGAGGAAAAGGAGGCTTACTTAAGTTCACATACCTACACTACGGTACAATCCGTCTGATCAATCGTAATAAAAACTAATATCCAGTGAGAACTTATCATGTATGAGACACTATCCTAAGTGGTTTACTAGCATCAACTCAATTAATCCCCACAACCACCCGAAAAGATAGGTAGTCTGAGGAAGCTGACTTTCCTGAGGGTACGTATTTGGTTAGTGGTGAATCCGGGAAGCCCTGGGAATTGGCTCTGAAGCCTGGGTGTCACAGCTCCAAATTTCATGCTTTGCCCAGCTCCTCACCTACCCCTGTGGTCATTTACAGTACCCAGCACTGAGCTAGACTTCTTTGGGATAAAACAAAGTAAAAGTCACGATAATTACTTTCAAGTTAGTAATTCAATGCTATTATCTTCATCTTCTTATAGGATAGGTTGTTGGCAAAAGCAGCATATGAAAATAGACCCGCAGCTACATCTCAGTTCTGTCAATCACACACTTTAAAGACCCCAGGCATGTTACCTAATCTTCCTGAGCCTCAGATTCCTCACCTAAGAAAAAAAAATTGTAAATGGCAATCATTTCTTGGCAATCGTGTTTATAAAGACTAAATAAGATCCTTTATGTGTAGCACTCAAAAACCATTACCCCCATCTCTGCTCTTCCCCTTCTGTGTCTCAGAAGGAATGACAAACTGGAATTAGAAATGCAGATATGACTGACCCATGATATACAATAAAGTCTCTGGATGACAGCTAAGAGTCCCATGTTGCCTCTTGAATTGGAGTTTTATTCCCCAAAATCTATTTCATATAATTAAAATGCCAAATACTAATCATAAAAAGTAAAATACCTCACTTTGGATACCCACTTTGACAGATACCTATTTAATATATAAAACCAAACACGTATCATAAATCTATATTTGAAATTATCGGGGAGGGGGTGCATAAGCTAACTGGTTCCTGAAAATGTGAGTCCAGCAAAATGTGGACCAACGGTGCCTCGTTTCCTGGTAGGTATCTTTACAATCAGCATCAACAGCTGTCATTGCTCTAGGGACCCTGCCAAGGTTCAATATCCGGTTCACTTGGGGCAAAATTTTCCATTGATGAGTTAATGAGCATGAACGGTCAATTCTCAGGGAGGAGTTCCAAAGGTAACTTCTCTTACAGTATCTCCGGCTCCTTTTTCAAAAACATGAAACACCATCTTGCTCAGTCATCTTCATCTTCAAAGATGTCCACCAACTACTCCAGAGCAACCTTCCGTCCCTTAGATCAACTCTTCCAGCTTCCCCTGAAATCCGAAATTTGCCAGCCAGTTATCATCCTCCTGAATGATTAAGCCATCCTTTACATCACTTATTTCCTCTTCTCAATGGTTTCCCAAGCTCTGTCTGTAAGAGTTTTAAAAGGTGGCGACCAATACCTATTAATAAGCCAAGAATTTATAGCTTAGTTGAAGAGCATGCTCTTTAGCCAATCATGAATTCACGTCACCAAGAGCTTTTTTCACCTTTAAAATCGGCACACCATATTGTCATCACTAATTATTTGCATTGACTGAAGGCTATTCTAAAAGCACATCAGCTTCAGCTATTACGTATGCATAAATACAAAATTTGCTCAGTATGGTTAAAGCGTTACTTATGATAAGCCTGTAAAGACTGTACTTCTCAAGTTAAGCCATCCCAAGTCAGGTGGTGTCTGTTTCCAAATATTCCCTTAATTACATCTGATGTCTGCTGAAAAGGGGGATTCTGGTCTGTTAACTAATCCTACTAACATCACCTCTCTCTGAGCTGGAAAAAGATGAGTTATTTTTGGAAGTAGGTAATTCCGTGTCCCAGAGATGAAGTTCTTTGCATAATCAGGTTTTTAAATGTCAGTAGCAGTTTGGAGCATTATTAAAGTATTTCTGGCTTCTGAAAAGGTTTCCAAATACCCTTACATGTGTTTAATCTTTCAAAATGAAGTCAGATAAAAGTTGAAGTTTTTGTCAGTCTGAAGGGGATCCCAGTACAGGGCCATGGATGCTGAGTGCTATGTCTGCACATTTTGTCCTGAAATACATATCCCTGTATCCAGAAAAAATAGCCCAGCCTTGGAAAATTTGAAGTCACAAGCTTGAAAAGCTTAAACAAACAAAGAGAAGTCATGAAGTATGTTTACGGGCCTCTAATAAAAAACCCATTTATATTTAGCATATTTCCAACCCAGTTTTATGAATTGGCTCTTCTAGGAATTTGGGAGATTGGAGGACAGGACAGTGTCTTATTTGATGGTAGAAAAGACCAGCATACTTCAAAATCTCCTGCTGTGCACCATGTAAAAGAAGTATGAAAGGCAAAAGGAAATGGCCATTGGTCTGGATGACATGTAAAGACCGGATCCAACCATCTTCATGCCTCAGACATTTTAAGATTATTTTCAACCTTGCTAGTAATTTTTAAAATTCTACATAAAGCCAGTGCACCTTTTTGCATAATAAATTTAGACCACAAAAACTGAATCCCCAGCTTTAAACACCCCAAGGTATCCAATAGCAGAAATTTTGTGATGAACCGTTATTTCATGTATTTCTAGTAGGATATAGCTTGGCACCAACCTTCTGTCACAGGTCATAAACCCCAAAATCATGCTCCAAGACAGAGATTTGTGTACAAAAGGTTTATTGGGGGATTATTGACATATAGATCAACACCTGAGAGAGAAAGAAGGAAGCAGGGCCGGGCAGAGGGTGTATTGGAATTACGATACCATTGCGGCAAAGGTCTCATCCAATCCTACAGGGAATTCTGGGGCTGAAATGACCCTGCAGAGCGGTCTCAAATTGGGGTATTAATTGCAGGTTCCCCTCTGCATAACTTTAGGCAAGACAGCTCTCTCCAGCCTATAGAAAGTTCCAGAAGAGGAACTCAGCTGAGAGCTATCTGCCATCAACACTCCTACCAGGTGGAGGAATGAATGAACCGACCTGGCAGGGGATCTGGGTGACACACAATGGCATCCTTTGTAGACAACTCCTCGCTCCACTTGGATCCACTAGCTTCATACAGCAAATCCTGAGAGAAGCTCCTCCAATATTCTGTTTGGTCTCTCCTCCTGGGAGAATCTCACAGGAGGAAGCTTAGTAGGAAAAACTACCATCCCTGCCATTGCACTGGATCTTGAGGCAGTAACAAACTCACCCTGCCTGTCCTCCACCATCTATTCTAGAGTCTCTTTGCCCTCAACTAACACCTCTGCTGGTCTAGGTGGCTAGGCTGCTGAGATGACAGACACTTATTTTCTGAATAAGAGAGGCAATGGGCCACTGGTCGCCATGACCTTCCCAGGCGGTGGTTATATAGCAAAGGAGGTGAGCAGTAGGCACATGACCATGATATCTATGGTCCCATCATATGCGCCCCCATCCACAGGCTGCTGGACTGACCACTGCTGCCACACTTAATCATCAGAATTGGGCAGTTACCGAGAGCAGTCAAAGTGGATCACCTGAATGCCAAATATATACTTCCCTGACCCCTAGTGTGGAACAGCAGCTCTACCTCTGCCTGATGATCAGGGTCAATTATTCATGCCGGTATGGTGACTACTTTCCTTGCCTGCTGGTCTCTTAAGACAAGATCTTTGACGTAACCAAGTGCTTAATCCTATTATTACTTAAATAGGATCTTGCTGTTTTCCTTAGTGGACCAATCACCCCTCTAAGAACCAAGAAGATTAAGTGTCTGAATTCACTGTTGTGAGGAAGGGAAGCTCAGACTCTCTAATGGGGCCATTGGATGAAATGGTAAGCAGGGCCACTGCTATTTTCACCCCTTGCTTCCTGGATCCATGACTTCTACATCTTAAAACACAGCAGCATATAATATTTAATGATTTAGGTGTATACCACATCTTCAAGGAGAGTATTTCCTCTGCACAGGGCATCCTCTCAAAGATGGCACATGAGCTAGACCTTCAACAGACTTTTCCAGTGCTCTGGTCAGTCCAGCAGCCTGTGGATGGGGGCGCATATGATGGAACCATAGATATCATGGTCATGTGCCTACTGCTCACCTCCTTTGCTATATAATGGGTCTCTTGGTCCCATACAGTTTTATGTGGGATCCCATGTTTATGGATCAAACTTTTTCTAAGCCCTTGGTCTGTGGTGCTGGCTAAGGTACTGTAGGCAGAAAAGGCAAATGCATATTTGGAAGAGGCATCAAACCCATTACGGAAAAGTCCATCAGCCTGGACCTACTGCTGATCCCTTTTCTGTTCTGAGACCCACATAATGCTGGCAATCTTTATGGGTCATCTTGTAAATGGGCTGAATCAATATTCCTAGTATGCTGCTTCCAGAAATCAAAGACTCCTATCAGGTACTGTGTTCTTTCCTGGTAATGAGAAGTGCAAGACACAATAATCTGCCCCTTGCTAGAGAGAATGTTCCAGTTTGCTTCAGACCATTAGCCTAAAAGTTGCATTAAGGCTGTGGGCCACTGAGTCTTTTTAGAGTTTAACTCCAACCCTCTGGAATACATTGTATTAAGTTGTATTAATTTTTTGTCATTGCATGAAAAAATTACCACACATTTAACCATTTAATACTACCTCATGGTTCTCCAGGTCAGAGGACCAGGCAGACCTAACTGGATTTTCTGCTGAGGGTCTCATGAGGCCAAAGTCAAGGCTGCATATCATCCAAGTGTACCACTATTAAAATGCTTAACAATTACACCACCACCATGGCATGCCCCAGGCTATCTGTGTTCTACCTGCCATCAGTAGATTTCATTTGCTGCCCAATTTTTTGCATAATACATTGAACATAACACACTACGTAACCACTATTTGTATTTACAACTTTTTCTCTTCCTTCTAAAATCAAAACCTGTGACCTGTTTCACTGCCAACTATTCCATGTGAATAAAACAGTGAGTGATTCCACATTCCAATTGAATCTCTTTTACTTGCTGTAAACATGGCTGGTCTTCCTTCAGAACTAATCTGAATGTATATTTTCCCATTTACATCTTGACTTTAAAAAGTTGTGATGTAACTAAGTGAACTAAGATCTCCTAGGTCGTAGGTTTTCAGGAATAAATAAAACAAAAAATTGTCAAGCAATTTTCCCTCATATATAATGTGGTAAATGTCAAGGACTATTTAAAAGTCTGAAATCATGGGGTGCCTGGGTGGCTCAGTTGGTTAAGCATCCGACTTTGGCTCAGGTCATGATCTCGTGGTTTGTGGGTTTGAGCCTCACGTTGGGCTCTGTACTGACAGCTCAGAGCTTGGAGCCTGCTTCGGATTCTGTGTCTGCCTCTCTCTCTGCCCCTCCCCCCACTTACACTCTGTCTCTCTCTCTCAAAAATGAATGAAAAAAAAAACATTTAAAAAATTAAAACAATTAAAAAATAAAATAGAAAATAAACAGAGCCTCCAAGAATAAGACAAGTACAGGTTAATGGGGAAGAGAGAGTTCCGGTGAGCCAAGGTATGGCATGACAGTAGAGAGAGCAAGCATAGAGAGCATAAGGTGACTGAGACCCCAGACAAAGGGCGTTAGAGGGACCCCAGAGGATAAATGGAGATGCTACAAATAAACTTCATTCCCTTAATGATTTACCTTTCACAATCACAAACTCAGCCTGTTTTGCTTGTTCTCTGTCTTCTCCTCTGTCCATTCTTGTCAAATTTCAATTAGTTAAAAGAAGGAAACTTCTCCATTCGCTCAACCAGGCCGTTAAAAGATAAAACGTTCAGCTCTCCTTGAGTTTCCTCCACTGGGAATAAACACCCTGGCTACTCTCTTTGCTTGATGAACTCTCACGAGGGCTGACACTTGAAGGCAGCCCTCTACTGGCTTCCCCCAATTTCTGTCTTCTTCCTAAGAACTGGCCACTGGCCATGTTTTCCTCCAGAGAAACTCACTCCTGAAGTTATTTTACAATTTCCTCCCTCTCCCTCCAGACACACTAGATTTTATTTTTATTTATTCATTTATTTATTTAATGAAAGGAGTGAGGTTTTCTTAATTTTTCTTTATTTATTTTTGAGACAGAGAGAGAACATAAGCGGGTGAGGGACAGACACACAGAGGAAGACACAGAATTCGAAGCAAGCTCCAGGTTCTGAGCCATCAGCAACAGAGCCAACGCAGGGCTCGAACTCACAGACCACAAGATCATGACCTGAGCCAAAGTCAGACGTTTAACCAACTGAGCCACCCAGGTGCCCCCAGGACACACTAGATTTTAAATCTCTTGAGACAGTGCTGGCATCTTATTCAATTCCTGTTGCTTAACAAGAAAGATGAACTAATGCTTTACAGAATTCCTGAAGTAAGTGGTCTCACAGTTGTGCTATTAGCCTCAACTAAGAGAGAAAATTTTTTTATGTTTATTTATTTATCTTGAGAGAGAGAGAGAGAGAGAGTGTGTGTGTGTGTGTGTGTGTGTGTGTGTGTGTGTGTGTGTGTGTGAGAGCAGGGGAGGGGCAGAGAGAGAGAATCCCAAGAAGGCTCTGAATCATCAGGCAGAGCCCCATACAGGGCTCAATCCCACAAATCATGAGATCTTGACCTGAGCCGAGATGAAGAGTCAGATGTTCAACAACTGAGCTACCCAGGCACCCCAGGGAGGCAAATTTTTTTTTCCAGGGAGGCAAATTTTAAGAAAATATTAAGGATCAGAAAAAAAAAAAAAAATTTAAGGACCTAACCTTATATACTCAAGAACCTTAACACTCATTTTTCCTCAACAAGTCAGAGATGGCATTTACTGTTTTAGTCATTATCTACAAGTGTTCTGGACCCACTGGAAATCTAGAAGCATAGGTTTGAGAGTCCAGACTTTGCATGCCAGGAGTCCCAAGAGGCTCAGAAAAGAAATGGCAAGATAGACAATGAAATCTAAAATCTAGTAGGAGGAGATAAGTAACAAATGAATAAGCCCTTGGATACGGTCATTGTAGCATCTATTTGAAATTTAAATCCAAATTTATAGTCAATGAAATCTCCCTTCCCCATTTGTAAGGAAACTAATATAGGATTATGTTTAAAATCCTTCTCTTATGTGACATCGTATTTCAAGTGCAAAGAGTCTGACTCCTCTAGAATATGACTCCTATAATTCCATAGATTTAAGATCATGATTAAAGGCTAACTCCTGTTATTTCTTTAAAAAAAAAAAAGATAATTTAAATCAGATCTAAAAGAAGTGAGCTGTAAAATGTAAAATATTGGTATGGTTCTTTTTCTGGGTCAGCTTGGTGAAGCTGAAACTACATTTCCCAAAATTCTTACACCTGTATATTATATGAGGCTAAAGTTGGTCAAAATTGGAATCTGTGTGAGATTTGAAAGGTAGAAATGAAGCAGCAGCCATTATTCTCTAAAGCCTTCAGGCTTAGACGTGGGTGACAGACAGACGCAGGTACCAGCTGGTTCCATATTGCTGTCACTCTCCTCCACTCAAGGTCAAGCTCTTCTTCCTGATTACACACCCTGCTGCTTAAGAGAGATCACAAGTTCATCAACAGGTGCGTGGCTATGGATCCAGACAGGCAATAGTTCCTCATAGAACCTCTCCATCCACTCCCCATTTGGTCTCGCTTTGGCAGCTGGATGTGCCTGGCTTTCAGATTGACTGGTTGGTGTCTTCTGTGATCTACCAACTTACCCTTCAGACATTCATTTCCCCAACCTCCCACAACTGAATAGGGTTTAAGTCCTATAATAAATCCCTTATCTGTCACTCAGAGTGGTCAGCTTCCTGGTTGAACCCTGATGTTACAATTGGCTAGAAAGAATCATTCAATCCCATTAACATTTGTTGAGCATCTATCTGGCTGGGTCAACTGTCTTTCACATATACCAATCTCATTTTATCATCATGGCATGTATATGAGGTTAGCATCATAACTCCCTCTCATAGATAGAAAAACAAAAAACTGAAATGGATTAATTGGCTTGCCTAAGAAAATCCCACTAGAAAATAAAGATGAGGGGAGCAAAGTAATTCTCCTTGGCCTGTCATCTCCTGCTCCATCCACCTCACACACATGTCAATACACCCAGCAAAGAACATGCTATGTGTTCACCTTCTCAAGATCAGTTGGAGAAAGAAATAAATGACATCATGCTGAGGAAATTAAAGTAATCACATAATTAGTAAAATGAGGGCTGGGCCCAAATTAGAAGTGGGGTGGGGGGAGAATTAAGTATGCTGGGAACACTCCACAAATTCTCCCAACAACCCTCCAAAGCAGGCACCACTGCTATCCTCCTTTTACAGATGAGGAAACAAAGAAAGAATACAGCCTCAAAGCAATTTAATCAAGATAAAGCAAGTCTTCAAACACTCTAGTCTTCAATGGCAGAATATTCTGTCAGAATTCTGAAAAAGCCACATGATTTCCCATATAAATAAAAAAAGGAGGGGAGAAAGATGACGAGAGAGAGACAGAAAGGGAAGAAGAAAGAAAAGAAAAAGAAAAGGAAAGAAAAGAAATAGGGAGGGAGGGAAGGAGGAAGGAAAGAAGCAAGGAAGGAAGGAAGAAAGAAAGGAAAGAAGGAAGGAAGGAAAAGTGATAGAAGAAAATGAGAAGTAAGAAGGCAAAATTGGGAAGGGGCAGAGGTTGGCAGATGATCTCCATTTATTCCAACATTTCTTGCATCTAGAACTGTATAGATCTGGGTATATGATATGAATAAATTACCGCCCCATCCATTGGGCTTACATTCCAGTAAGTAAACCTGCAGAATTAACAACTGCTGTGTTGTCTTCATTTTAATTTAAATTACTTCACAGACTATGTAATATATAGGTGGGCATTTTAATTTATATCTAGAGGTGGTTAGTTAATATCTGAACTGCCCTAATCAGAAACAGACTCCAGGAGTGGTTAGTTAGCATTTGAAAGACTCTAATCAAGATCCACACTCCAGGAACCACCAGAGTACAATTACCTCAATATCTGATCAACATCAGAAAATTTGTTACTTAGTATAATGGATGTTGGAAGTAATTTTTCTTTGGTGAAATAGATGACCTTCCAGTTGTATGGAATGACTGAAAATATTGTATAAGCCCTGCTACCCTTACATAAACAAATATAGAAATCTATCAAACCTAATAGCCTTATATCTTTTGAAATGATGCCTCAGGCCTTGGTATTTCTTCTGGTTCCATATCTTACCATTTAGGTATTATTTGATATGGATTAGAAATATAACTGAATCTTGCTGCTAGAATATCTTCACCTTTGCCTCAAATAAACCCTTGAATTAGGAGCTTGTCTGGGTGCATAAAAAGAAAGCTAGGATTTCATTGAGCTTACAGAATAGGTTGTGTGATAGTTTTTGTGCCTGCTTGATGACATTTGTTGTGCAGAATCCCTTTTGGGACTTGCCTTCAGTATAATATCCTTGCTGGTTGTGAGTTCTGGAGAAGATATAATAATTATAAATGACCAAGTTAGCTTAGGTCATTTTACAACAGCAATTAATTTCAAATGTTACAAATGCCCTAAGGGAGAAATATTGGGAAACAGGAAAGCATATGACGTTACCCCCGATCTAATCTAATAAATCAGAATTAGAGTTTACATGGGGGGAATTAGTCTATTATAGGTAAAATATCAAAGATGAAAGAAGGCTGAAACATTTAAGGTTGAAAGAAGGCCACCTGTGATGAGTAAGCTGAGTCAGGAAGGGAATTAAAACAGGCAAAATGAATGAATGAATGAATGTATGAATGAGAAAGACATTCCAAAGGAGAGACCAGAAGAATACTAAGTCCAAACACACAAATCCCTTTCTGACAACTGAAGACCGAACAAAAAAGGAGGTGCTGCTTAGAGAAGCCTGATCTTGGACAACTTAGATAAACCTTCAACCTTAGCAAGGAAGATCAGTGGTTCCAAAGTCCCTGGCCTTAGGTGAATTCCTCTGGCATTTTATCTTTGTTCTTAGACACTAAGTTTATCTTGTAGGTTCTGGTTGTGCTTAAAGAGACCTCAGAGATAGAGATTAGGGAGATACTTTTTGGCATTGTGTTTGGTGGTAGTGTTTTTGTACCAATGTGCAATTAGCCCCCAACTCCTTAGTGAACAACAAACCTCATTCATTTGCATAATTGTTTCCTTTGCTGCTTCCTTTATAAAAAATAATGAGCCATTATGCACATAATTAAAGCAAGCTTAACAAATGAGGGCTGGGCTGACAAGAATCACATGAGAAGGTCAAGAGAAATTAGCATCAAGGCCTGTCTGCTAAGCATAAGGCCAATCTAATATGCACTGTCTCTTGGGAACAGAAGGACTCCTTTGGGGCCTCTGCTTTTAGATTTCACTAAGGTCAGGCTTCCTGGAGAAAACATGATTTGATTTCATCCAGCCCTTCTCTTTCTGCTTCTGTCCTTTCCCTCCTGTCCTTCTCTATGAGAAGTAGCTGGTTTGCTTGTTATTAGCAAACCTCTCAACAACTCCTCTGTCTCATTTCCCCTTCCCCCAAGTCAGACATTTTCCCAGCAATCCTTACTAAAAAGTTAATAGAAATAAGCAAAGTTCGGGGCGCCTGGGTGGCTCAGTCGGTTAAGCGTCCGACTTCAGCCAGGTCACGATCTCGCGGTCCGTGAGTTCGAGCCCCGCGTCAGGCTCTGGGCTGATGGCTCGGAGCCTGGAGCCTGTTTCCGATTCTGTGTCTCCCTCTCTCTCTGCCCCTCCCCTGTTCATGCTCTGTCTCTCTCTGACCCAAAAATAAATAAACGTTGGAAAAAAAAAAAATTAAAAAAAAAAAAAGAAATAAGCAAAGTTCTTTCATCCTAGGAAGTCTGATAAACTTTACGGAGACCAATATTTCCTTCTTTAAAATTTTTTGATCACAGAGTGGCTAGGACAAGGCACTTGTCCTTTCTGGATGGGTAAGTACCTTTCTACCAGCTACTTATGGGTGTCTTGGTCATGTGATCTCTAAGCAGTTTCTTTCTTCTGGTACCACTGGATTGTTCCACCTTAGCATCTTAACATAGATCCTGCTCAGTTTCCAGTCCTTCAGGCTGAATGTCCCAGTTTGTGGAAAGTACTATCAGCCATCCTTTGATGTGCTGGATTCCTAGATGATTGGAAGGTCATTGATGAGTGATGTAGGAAACATTCCAGGTCTCCTAGGCCTGGATTCTGTGTTCCTTGGGGTCTTGTTATTCAGTGCACAGTCTGAGAAACAGCTGCCTCATCTGAGAGCTTGTTAGAAATGCGCAATTTCAAAAAATAAATATTTTGAAAAATATTCAAATATTTAAATACTTCAAATATTTTCAAAAAATAAAAAAAGACTTAAAAAGTAAAAACTAAAAACTAATTAATTAATTAAGTAAAACAAAGAAATGCAATATCCCAGGCCCCACTCAGTACCTTCTCCAAAGCTCAGTCAGAGTGGATTTTAATGAGATCTCCAGGTAATTGGTTTTCACATTAAAGTTTGAGAAGAATGACCTAGGGCATTCAGTGGGACCCATTCAGTTCAGTTTATTCTAGGGTGTTTGACCACCTCCTGTTTACCCAGTGGGTAAAAAGAGGGATTCCTGTCCTAAGGCTACGGGGGTGGCCAACCCACAACACCCAACACTGGATGCATGAGATCACAGTGCCTTAGTAGTCACACATATTCTGAGCCCAGAGGCAGGGAGGATACCACATGCTCCACAGGCCATACAAGGGTTGTGCTCAGGAACAGAATGAACAACCAAGGACTATGGGACATAAGCTTTGTAGTATCAAGAGAGCTGCTTCCCATGGGAGGATACAATTGGCTTGTTTGAATAATTCTATGGGCTGGCAGGGAACTGAAACGTGCTATCAGGGATATGTGGGAACTGTACCTTGTCCATTTGCTGCTAAGGGTTGTCTGACTTGGGGACCTTGCCTGCAGGACAGTGGGAGGGGAACTCGTGGTTAGGATATTCAAGAGTGCCCCTTGCCCTCCTGATTTCCCCAGATATCAGGGTAGCATAGAGAATAGGACTTTAATTTCAGGCATTGTACCACATGGGGAAGCCATCTTATAAAAAAATATCAAGCTATATGCGTGGAACCCACCAAACATAATGCCTGGACCATGGAAAATGCCCAATAAATAGATATCACTCTGCATCTCCTCTCTGTCTTTAGTCTGAGCCCTGTAGGAACCATAGCCTGGAATGATTCAGATTCTGCCAACGTGATTTGAATGCCTACACATGCGAAGCACTATATTAATTGCTCTCATATACATGATCTTACAATATTCACCCCAACACTGTGACTCAGTTATTCTAATCCTTCCTTTAGGAGAGACCAGGAAATTGAAGAGAATTTTACCGAGTCTAAATGGACTGTGTTTATCATGTCTCATCACAGCATTTATCAACACAATCTGTAATCTGTTATAACAACACAATGAGAATCTAGCAATGCAATAACCTTCATAAATATACACATGCCAGCCACAATTTATGAGAAACCAGCAGTAGAAAAAGTTGAAATTATTTGGCTCCCTCAATAATACGAACAATAGGGAAGATGGGCAAGTATAAAATGTTTTGGATTGATTTTCTAGTCTGATACAGACAAAGTCTGACAGTAACTAGAAGGTTACTTGAGAAACAAGTAATTGAAAGAGACAGTCGAGGAGATATAGTAACTATCAATTTTTTTAGGTTATATAAGTCTGATCTGATTACTTTAGGTCATCAGGAGCAGTGCATTTAGACTATATTTTTTTTAGTCTCCAGAAGAAAGGCCCTCACTGCCTCATAGTTAGAGGCAATGTAGCATAGTCCTTAGGAGCACAGACTCTGAACCCAGACTCCCTAAATTCAAACCCAGATCCTCTGCTTTCTGGCTGTGCCACCTGGTGCCAGTGGTTTAACTTCTCTGTGCCTCATTTTCTATCTGCAGAACACAGATAACAGCAGCTTTTCCTCACAGAGTTGCCGTGAAGACAAAATGAGGTAACACACACAAAGCACTTAGAACGGGGCCTGGTAGAGTTAGCACTATTGAAGCAGAGGCTATTATTACTATGAATCAGTGCTGTGTCCTCAACTCACATAAAGGGTCAATAAAATAAAGTGATCGTGTGAGATTCATCCAAATAAATGGAACAAAATAGCCCAGGAACAGACCTCAGTATATAAAAGAATTTAGTTTATGGTAAAGGAGACCATTTCAATCAGTAAAGAAAGACTGGGTTATTCAATAAATGTGTCAGAGGAATTGGATAACTTGGTCTCCCATTACTTTGCCCTCCACCTGAACTCCATCATATGCTATTACTGGTGATACTTTGAGTATTCATGATGACACTACATATTATCAATCACCAATGTCGCATTTCCCATTTCCCCCAGAAGAAAAAAATTATTCACGTATTCATCAAATAAGTAAGAATCTCAATCAGAGTCCATTTTAAGAGTTCGTTTCTGGGGTCTCTCCTGGTACGAGTTATATAATCCATCAGGTTGCTGGCAGCATACAGACGGCATATTCAAACAGGGTAATGAAGAAAAGGTAAGGGATTATTCACAAAAGTGTTGTGGAAATCAACAAGAATGGTTGAGCCACAGGGCTAGGACCAAGACTTTGAATGCCACGCCTAGACCTGAAGAGACGGAGCAGTTGCCAGAAAGCAGTGAAACCTTTAGTTACTGGACAGTCACGTGATAGGAGCTGTGTCTTTGGAAGGAGAACTCAGCCACTACCAACCTGAGCAGGGCAGGAGGGAGACATGGAAAGAGATACTTCACCTGTATCTCTTCTGACACCCTCTGAACTTCTGGAAGAATGGGAGCCTGGTTGATCCAGTAGATACATGTCAACCTTCAGGGGAGCAGAGAAGGGTAGAGAAAAGACTGAGCCTGAAAGAGTAAACAGAGAATAAGAGAATATCCAGCTTACCCAGTAAGGAAGCAAATGTGTCAGTCCAAATAACTGGGGTAGAGGGGAATTGTCTTCTTAGTTTGCTGAAGTTTCCTAACCACCAGAGGACAAAGGCCTTGGATAGGATGAGATCTTTATCTGTTACACAGATAGGAAGGGTTCAATTTATAGTCACTATAAATGGTGCCAAAATTTAAAAGGATGCCATGTTACCTACATCTCCTAGATTTACTCATATCATTACTAATCTTCAAGATGGCTCATAATCTATAACCCCCATCCACATAGCTTGAACAGGAATGGTAAAGAGCCACAGGGCTAGTAACAAGACTTTGAATGCCATGACTTTTATTGGAATCTGATATATGTAAATAATCATGAAGTATTAGAAAGAGAAATTAAGAAAATAATCCCCTTTACAATTGCATCAAAAGGAATAAAATACCTAGGCATAAATTTAACCAAGGAGGTAAAAGAACTGTATACTAACCACCACAAGACATTGGTGGAAAATATTGGAGAAGACACAAATAAATGGAAAGATATTCCTTGCTCACAGATCGAAAGAATTAACATTGTTAAAATGTCCATACTACCCAAAGCAATCTACAGACTCAATGTGATTCCTATAAAATCTCCAATGGCATCTTCTACAGTAATAGGACAATCCTAAAATTCATATGAAACCACAAAAGACACCTAATAGCCAAAGAAATCTTGAGAATGAAGAATAAAACTGGAAGCATCACACTTCCTGATAACACAATATTACAAAGCTGTAGTAATCAAAATAGTACAGTTTTGGAATAAAAGCAGATACATAGATCCAAGGAACAAAATATACAGCCCAGAAACAAATCCAGGCATATTATGGTCAATTAGTTTATGACAAAGGCATTAAGAATATACAATGAGGAAAGGATAGCCTTTTCAATAAATAGTATTGAGAAAAGTGAATAGCCATATGCAAAAGAATGAAACTGGACCACTTTCTTACACCATACACAAAAATCAACACAAAAATGGATTAAAGATTTGAATATAAGATCTGAAACCATAAGATTCAATGAAGAAAACATAGAGGGTCAGCTCCTTAACCCTGATCTTTTAAGTGATTTTTTTTTATTTAACACCAAAATCTAAATCAACGAAAGCAAAAATAAACAAGTGGTACCATACCAAACTAAAAAGTTGCTGTACAGCAAAGGAAACCACCAACAAAATGAAAAGGCAACCTATGGAAGGGGAGAAAATGTTTGCAAATCACATATGTGATAAAGAGTATAAATCTAAAACATATAAAGAACTCATACAACCCAACAGAAAAGAAACAAAAAACAAAAAACAAAAAAGAAAACAAAAACACAAAAAACAAAAAAACAAAACAGCAATTTTTTTTAATTTTTTTTCAACGTTTTTTATTTATTTTTGGGACAGAGAGAGACAGAGCATGAACGGGGGAGGGGCAGGGAGAGAGGGAGACACAGAATCGGAAACAGGCTCCAGGCTCTGAGCCATCAGCCCAGAGCCCGACGCGGGGCTCGAACTCACGGACCGCGAGATCGTGACCTGGCTGAAGTCGGACGCTTAACCGACTGCGCCACCCAGGCGCCCCTACAGCAATTTTATTTAAAAAAAAATGGAGAGTGGAACTGAATAGACATCTTTCCAAAGAAAACATACACATGGTCCACAGGTAACATGAAAAGGTGTTCAACATCACTAATCATTAGGGAAATGCACATCAAAACCACAATATCACCTCATACCTGTTAGAAGAGCTATCATCAAAATGACAAAAGATAACAAGTGAGGCAGTGCAGAAAAGGGAATCCTTTTGCACTATTGGTACAAATGTAAATTGGTGTAGCCACTATGGAAAATAGTATGAAGATTCCTCAAAACATTTTAAATAGAAAGACCATGATCCAGCAATCCCACTTATGGGTATAAGTTACCTGTGGTCAACCATGGTCTAGAAGCAGATGATCCTCTTTCTGACTATCCCCAGAAGGTCAATGGTGTCCTAAAGCTAAGTCACAATGCACGCCATGCACCTCACTTCATCTCATCACATAGGCATTTTATCATCTCACATCAGCACAAAGGTGAGTGTAAAAGAAGGGTGAGTGTAGTATAATGAGATATTTTGAGAGACAGGGAGAGGCCACGTTCACATAACCTTTATTACAGTATACTGTTACAACTGTTCTATTTTATTACTAGTTATTGTTCTTAATCTCTTACTGTGCCTAATTTATAAATTAAACTTTATCATAGATATATGTATAGGAAAAATATAT